TATAATCACACGTCTTGTGGAGCGCTTTCAGAGTATGCATTTATTTGTCATTTGAACTGTTTGGAAACGGAGCGTAAATGTGGAAGTCCTTCAAAGATTTCTTATCCTGTTGTGCCCTCTATAGGACCAGCGACTAGTCGACGTCAAGCTTAAAGCATCATGGCAGAGCATTGAAGTCGACTAGTCGACTAGTCAGTGCAAACCCTAGTTTAGACACGCACTAGAGAAGGTTTAGCCAATCACAACACACTGGGCTAGCTAACCAATCAGAGCCAATTGCCTATTTCTGAGGGCGGGGCTTCATAAAAACAGGAAAAGATCAGCCCGTTTCTTAGAGAAGGGACAGAGCGGTGTGGAATAAAGGTAAATTATATGAAAAATAATGCGTTTTTTTTTTTAACTAAGCATTAACACGTTAGACTGCACCCCATAAACACAATCAAGCCTAGAAAAAACCCAGTGAACCACGCCGTTAACCCTCTGGTGCTCTTCAGTCACTTTTGACCGAAAAATTTTCTGTTTTGAATTTTTAAAAATCACAGCTTCATCGGAATGGTACGAAACTTGTTGACTTACGGCATTTGGAATGTGAACACACAAAAAATGAGGGCATGATTCGAGCATGCTAAGTGGTTGCAAAAAAAATTACAAATTGTCACACTTGTGGTCTTCGGTCAAAAATGACCGACCATAGGAAATGAATGGGAAATCGACAAAAAAGAAGAGAATCTGAAACAAATCTGCCACAATCGGATCAGACGCAGAAGAATTAAGCTCTAATAAAACATTCCTGTTCATTTTTGTTACATTTTTATAGATGTTCAGGTTTGACTGTAGTAATAATAATTCAAAAACTGACGCTTCAAATCAACATAAAAAAAAAAAATCTAAACCTTTACAAAAAGTTGTCTTTGAGAATGTCTAAATATATATCTAAACCCACAATTTAATAAAAACAAGTTTTTATGTCTAAAAACAATTAGAGAGTTTATAGGCCTTTTATATAGGAACTATATAGGAATATATGGGCTAAACCATGGATTTGCAGATGTTTTTCTTATTTTACTCCCACCAGATGGCACTAATCAGGCTTAAATTTGATTTGAAAGGCATTGACACCATTTTAACATGAAATACTGCATTGATTGAAAAGAAATATAAAAATATATTTTTTTTTTATTTGTATTATTTTCAATGGGAAGAAATTCATCATAATTATTGCATAAATATTAATTAGTACCATGAAATTATCTCAAAATACAAAAGAAAAAAATTTTTTTAAATAATTTTTATTTTGAAAATAAGTTCAAAATTTTAGGTGACCGTGAAGATCACAAGTGTGACTCTCAAATGAGGAGAATCAGAGGGTTAGGACTGATCCACTTCTCCAATAACTCTGACTCGTTGCTCAGTTCTACAATAACACTGGAAGTAAAGCAGGTCAGTGTTCCCGAACCTTCAGAGAAGAAACTGACACCTGATGTTACGCACAATCACTATAAATCACTTCAAACTATATATAATTACAAATCACATCCATCATGGCACTGACTCCTGCCACTGCAGCACTTATCTGAATATGTTTATGTAACGTCCTAAATGGATCTTTATTGCCGGGGCTTTTGGGCCATGGAGCACCGATAATTGATCTGTCTGTGAGCTCTGAGAGGAATCAATAGCGCAGATAGAAGATTGAAATCAGACTATCTGTCGCCACGAGAGGCTTTTAACACTAACACAGCTCTCACTGATCTCTCACACATCAGCGCATCAGTAAGTGCTGAAAGCCGCAGGCCTCCAGTGAACTCTGACCCTCGGAGGAGAGCGAGCGAGGTGCGGCTGAGCCTCAGCCTGTAGAGATTCACGGGACAAAACCACGTTAACATGTCCAGAAAAGTAAGAAATCATTTGTGTGTAAAGACAATGGGGTCTATGTGGAGAAACATTTAGATGTTTTCTGCATTGTGACATTTTCTTGATCACAATTGTGTGCTGTAAATGTGAGCGATTTAAGAAAAAATAGGACTAGGCTGCACACAACCTTAGTGTGAACATTATACAGGAACAGAAGACTACCTTTAGAGTGTGATTTGCCATTTACAACATTCCCTGACAGACAGAACTAGACTAATACAAGTGTTATTTTAGTACCATTTATGTACTATTATATTTTGTTTATTAATATTTAGAATTGTATATGTTAGTAAATGTGTTGTTTTTTATTTTTATTAGGTTTTTTTTTTTCAAATAAGTCTTTAATTTTCTATTTATACACACATTCGTTTATGGTTTTATTTATCTTATTTTACTTCAGTTTATTTCAAGTAATTCATGGTTTTGATTATGGTTTTGGTTTTAGTTAGCGATAATAACCCTGTCTAATACAGCACCATGTGTCAGTCCTTAAAGGTCGTGAGATTCTCCGGGCTGAGCTGAAGCTAACTGAATATCACAAGCTTCACCTTCAGTCTTCAGAAAGACACAGACACACAGTTTGGACTAGAGACTGCTATCAGTCCCGCAGGGAGAAGCGCTGGAGAGCTGATGTTCCTGTGAAGCTTTAAAAATGGCAACAGAATATTTTTCCCAGACTCCAGCGCGGTCTCGCTGCTTCATGAGAAGTGGTCTGCTAGTGACCAAAAACAGCTATGGACTGAGGAGTACAGAGACTTCCTGAAAAATGAATCTGCAAGCAGATGGTGAGATCTGGAGATGTACTACCTTGGCGTGATGCAGGTCTACACCGTACATGGACAGCTTCTTGGCATTTTCCAGAAACTGGGCATCTGATTGGGCTGGAGTCATTCCCCTGGAGGAGATACGAGACAGGTGTTATCAGGACTCAGCACTGATCATCATCACACACCTTGGGCTTTGAGTTTCACTGGCATTCAGCTCTTTTAATGCAGGAACTGAAGTCAGAAGAACTCGTGTGAGCCCCACATTGGTGTCTGGCTGAGTGAATCAATCAGACGGAAGCCGGGTTCCTCCAGAACTACACTTAGTACCATTTATGTACTATTATATTTTGTTTATTAATATTTAGAATTGTATATGTTAGTAAATGTGTTGTTTTTTATTTTTATTAGGTTTTTTTTTTTTTCAAATAAGTCTTTAATTTTCAGTTATTTTAGTATATCAACTTAAAACTAAATGAAAATGAAATGAAAATGAAATAATAATGTTTCATTTCAGTTTAAGTTTATTATGTTTCAACTAATGAAAGGTGTTTTTCATGCTTTTAGTTGTATTTAACTATAATAACTGGCTAATACACCATCAGTCAGTCCTTAAAGTTCATGATATTTGTATGAATTTTTATTAATATTTAGCATTTTATTTTTATTTTTCCGTTTTCATTTGAATTGTAGTTAATTTTTATTAGTTTTTGTTTTTTCAAATATGTCAAAGTAGTTTTATTATTCGTATTAAAATTTTAGTACATCATGTTAAACTAATTGAAAAGTATATGTAAGTATATGTATGTATATATATAGGCTTTGAGTTTCACTGGCATTCAGCTCTTTTAATGCAGGAACTGAAGTCAGAAGAACTCGTGTGAGCCCCACATTGGTGTCTGGCTGAGTGAATCAATCAGACGGAAGCCGGGTTCCTCCAGAACTACACGTGGACGAATATTCCTGCTGTTGAGCCAGATTTGACTCTCACACGCCTAACTGGATCAGAGCTGCCAAGCTGCATCATGATGCCACTAGTGACGTCACAATCAATGCGTGCCCAGTTATTACTTTACATTTAAAAATGTTTTTTAACATGAACATTTTATGACCTTTTTAAAGACCTGCACAAATTAATGTTGTCCCTACAGGACACTAAAATTCTACTTAATTAAACAGGCTGCAGCACACATAGGGTAACTACGAGATTAAATACTCAAGACATTTTTTATTCAATATATACATATGTATTGAAATCGGTGTACTAATATAAAATTACATACAAAATACTGGTTGAGTGATATTGGATTTGTCTGAAATAATAAGAATAATATGTTTAAAGAAAGGCAACAAACAGATTATTTTGCCGATACTAGTGAAATCTACATATTTAATATGTTAAATAATGTTCTTGGTATTTCCTTTCTATTACAGGGTTAAATTAAATGCCAGATACAGTTTTTTGTGTAACCCAAATAATAATATCCAGAAAGAAAACGCATAATGCAAGACTTTTAATAATAAACAAGCCCAAAATATACTGGGAAATGTCTGTGTGTTATTCAAACAGATGAGGGGGATCAAATAGGCATCTCACAACCATCCACAACACGATAAAGTAAATGCTGTCATAATTCATCAACAGTAGATCATAAGCAAACGCTTGGCACAGCAGTGCATTATTCATTGATTGCAAACTGCTCTGAAACTGCAGGCCTGTAGACACAGTGCCACGTTTCGACTTCAAACACACAGCACTCACATTTAATTAATGAAATCACAGCCCATTTGAACTTTAATCATCACATTAAGCTGTATTGTGATTCCTGTTGTTCTGTCCCTAAATTTAAGACCTCTTAGAATGACAACGAAGACTTCTGCGATACTTTATGATGTTAAATTTGATCAAACTGAATAATAGAAATGTTAGGGATGCCTGCTGTCAGACCTGTGGGACTTGTGCAGCTCCACCACCTTCTCCTCCAGCTCCTTGGTCTGGTTTGGGGCGAACTGGAAGTCTGAGATGCAGTCCAGACGATGCTCCTCGGGGTCGTGGTCCCCGAGCTCCGCCTGCAGGGTGTAGGAGCCCAGGAGAGCGTGTGTGACAAAGGAGCACGGCAGCCGGCCCGACGCGATGTCCTGCCTCAGCTGGAGGCACAGCAGATACCTGCAGAGACCAGGAGAGAAACCATGAGACGCCACACACACACCGGCACCCGCAGCCTTTCAGAGTGACCAACAGATGAAGCAGCAAACATGCGGCTGGTGGAGACGAGCAGGTGTCAGCGTGGGGCTTCTGTACCTCGTGATGTCCTCAGTCAGCTGGGACGGGTCCGGAGGGTAAAACTTCACACTGAACGCAAACTGCCACTGAGAGTCTGATGCGAAACACACAGAGAGAAAGAGAATCAGAGCTGATTAAAGGAGAGAGAAAATCACAGCAGAAGGATCAGTTTAGTCCCTCTGCCAGCTTCAATATCACAAGAGAGTGTGTGTGTGTGTGTGTGTGTGTGTGTGTGTGCGTGTGTGTGAGTTTGTGTGAGTTTGTGTGTGTGTGTGTGTGTGTGTGCTTCTTTTGAATTTGCACTTGGTTTTCAATAAAGGACAGAAATACAGGCACAACTTCCCCAAGCAGATGTGCTATAAAGGTACAGGGTGGAGGGATGGGCTGTGATTATGATGGAGTGCTGATGTCTGTTCTGTCACTCAGTCAGTCGACACTAGCTCGTGCTGTTCATCATTCAGAGATGAATGTGTAGAAGGCTGAAATGAGCCACAATAATGAAAGACAATGAAAAATTTGAGACTCCATCAGACATGATCTAGATTTGTGATCGACATCCAGTCAAATGAGATGTGTTCAAGATCGGGTCGATTTCTTTTGAAAAACAGGTTGTCTCGTTAGTTTGAGAGTTTGGTTTCTAGATGTTTCTAGATGGTGAGGCTTTGGCAGCCAATACTTCACAATAAGAAACACTCTGATGTCAACACAAAATACAGGTGAAAACTGAAGGCTGTTCATGTTGTGTGGGTCAGATTTTCTTTGACTTTGTGTAGTTTTTGAGGATGGTGCGATTGTCACATGACGAGTCCATGCTGATATCCAAGCATGACTGAGAAATTCATCTGAGAAATGATGAAACACTAGACAAACAGATGAGAAAGATGATGAAGAAATCAGCAAGAGTCTTCATCATTAGTGATACACTTAAATCTGGGCTAAAATCTAATATTCTGGACACATTGGGGCAAAATGCTTATTTTAAATTACACTGTTTTTAGCAAATGTAAACTGCACTTGCAAACATTTAAATTTTGACTGCAATATGCTTTCGTGTGCTCTGGACTTTGCATCTCATACAAGTGTTATTTTAGTTTTTAGACGATTATTTATTAATATTCTAAATTAGTTTCTTATTATATTTTCTATTTTAATTTTAAAGAGTTAGTAATTTTGTTGTTTTTGTTGCATTTTTTTATTTTTTTTAATGTCTGTATAGCTTTTATTGAATTTAATTTTAGTACATCAAGTCAAACTAAATGAAAAAATGTTGGCAACTAGTTTTTTAGCCAAGTTTTTTTTTATTTCAGTTAACATTCATTTCAAGTGTTGATTTTTTTTTATTATTGTTTTACTATAATAACCCTGCTCATCACACATTCAGGCTGTTGTCCAGTAAGATCGCCAGTCAGCGATTATGACTCGGGGTCAGAGGTCAGGACGCAGCGCAGCAAAGTCAACCTCATTCTTTCAGTAAGTGTGTCTGAAAACGAGGACACAGCTGCTATTTTTATAGACGTGTCCTTCAAAAGGAGAGCCTCTGTGGTGCGTTTCCTCTCTATCTCTCAATCTGTCCTGTTTTTCTATTTTCAGCTCTCCTCCAGACGCTCTAGAGTCATAACAGCAGATAAGATGTCTGATTCACCTGTGTGTGTGTGTGTGTGTGTGTGTGTGTGAGAGAGAGTGTGTGAGAGTGTGAGAGAGTGAGAGAGAGAGAGAGAGAGAGAGAGAGAGAGAGAGAGAGAGAGAGAGAGAGAGAGAGAGAGAGAGAGAGAGAGAGAGAGAGAGAGAGAGAGAGAGAGAGAGAGAGAGAGAGAGAGAGAGAGAGAGAGAGAGAGAGAGAGTGAGAGAGTGAGAGTGTGAGAGAGTGAGAGTGTGAGAGAGTGAGTGTGTGAGTGAGTGTGAGAGTGTGAGAGTGTGAGAGAGTGAGAGAGAGAGAGTCAAATCTTTACTGATTTTTATCAAGTAAACATCAGAATAACTTTGATATTGTTAGTCACATTTCCAGATAGGCCTGGTGGAAAAAATGATAATTATCGCAATATAATTTTTCTTGATAAAATGATAACAAGAGTTTGATAAATATTAAATACAATGTTTATGCGCCAAAAGCGGAAGGAATCAGCGCTGCTCATTTGAAGCATTGATCCGCTGTTTTTTTTGTAATTAATTTATAGCGTCTATGCATTTATATTAAATGTATTTAGACTACTGTTTTTCATACAAACACCTAGAAACCATAGCTGCATTTTTACCATGGTATCGGGGTGCTGTATGTGTGGCTTTAACTGTGGTTATCATGATCTGAATGTATGTTACTATGAAAGAACAATGGTTAATTTTAAGTCAAGCAGTCAGAATAACTATATTATAATTAATAATTACTACTCATAATAATAGCAATAATAATGAAATTTCACCATATAAAAATGAGGTTGTTACAATTTTTTACAGATGTTGCTGTTTTTGATAATGAACAAATTTACATCTGCATCCTAACTCAAGCTACTGTCAAATGTGCATTTATAAGAGACAAAATAATGCAATATTATTAATATTGCAGGCTGCACTGCAAACTGTGCTGAAGATACACCTCAACGTCAGGAACACAAACCTGTTACATGATCTGAAACAATATCCCTCATTAGAACATGCAGAAACTAAGAAATTAATTTCTCTATATTGACATTTATTTTGTTAAGGAAAAATGACTGGAAAAGTGTAAAGAATTCAAAAACCTGAAGTGTTTGTCATGTTCTGACCATAAAGAATAGCTTAAAACCACATTTAATGGTCTGGTTTCTACGACTTTCACTTAGGAGCAAAAATCTGCCTTTAAACTTTATTTATCGAGATAATTATCAATATCGACTCTTCTTCACAGAAAAATGTTATTGTGATATTTTTTTTGGCCAGATCGCCCAGCCATATTTCCAGATGAACACTTACTGGACTGAAGCAGCTTTTAGAAAAATCAGTGCGTCTCAAATCTGATCCTCAGGATCTTTTGAGGAACGTTTATTTGTTCATCTCTCAATCATCACTGCATTGCATTATATGTTTGGATCATTTCTATCTCATCTTAGTGAGACAGATTACTGGAGATATAGAGTGACGACTGATATTTATGTCATTTTATGTCAGTATCTGCTTACTGTTAGAAAGATCTCATTGATTTACATTACAAGCAGCAGAAATTCATCATATAAATATCAGCACCAGCACCAAATTGCATATTTTTGCTCAGTCTGCGAATAAAACAGTCGATAAAAAAGCCTGATGTATCAAATATGACTATGTGAGGCTTCACATGGTTAAAGGCTTTAAAGGTCCACGCAGCGTTATTCTATGTGCAGACGTAATTTCAACTGAAAATGGAAGACAGGGCGGGACATATCTAGCAGCCCCGCCCCCTTTTTTAAATAGCCAATAGCGTTTCGTTTATATCACAGCTTGGGCCAGAGTCTTTGAGCTCGGTAAAGCTGCATTTGACAGCGTATGACAGTCATAGTCTAATAGATTAGCTTTTAGATTTAATATGAAACTGTTACTAAATCAAAGCAGTGACTATAATGATGCCGAGGATAGTGTAGTTTGAAAAGTGTGTCATCTCTTCTACTCGTCAGTGCTGTTTAACTGTTTCTCCTCCTGATCTCATCCATATCGCTGTAAAATATAACATGGGTCCGATACGGCTTTGTGGTCTGTGCCAACTCGCGCATATGATCCGCTTCGGATTCTAGAGAGCATTTGATTGGACAAAGTCTGACGAGAAGCTGAAGTGCAGAGTGAGGTCATCAAAACCGTTGATCCATATTGGCGGAAGTGAGAGACTGTAGGTTTTGAATGCTATGAATGAATGAATGAAGCATCTATATTGCATTTTGTTGATGGTTTTGATTGTGTTTGTGTGGTGTGAATGAGGAATCCGCTCTCACTCCACCCTGTGTGCGTCATTCCAGCGCTCTGATAATTACAGCTATTCACACTGCAGATGTGTGCGAGGACAACACAAACACACCCAGACCATGACATGAAGAGAAAGAGAAGCACGTACTGCGGATCTGCCGCTTGATTTCCTTGGTGGGGTCCAGCCAGCACTGCAACACAGAAACACAGAGGAGTCAGTAGAGCAGCTGCATGGCATGACCGACACAGCATCCAGAGACTGTGATCCTGAGCTCAGACTCACGCTTCTCTTCAAGAGAGCTCACGATGCAGTCCTCAAACATATCGCTACCTGAAGCCAATATTAGAATTATTTAATATGAGCTTATTTCTGTAAGACATTTCTTCATTTTGGCGATTGCTTTAGATTACATTTAGACTGCATGTGCACTTTGTGTGGTAACGTCTTTAAAAATCTTGGTTAATTAACAGTTAAATAATTTGCTATTTTCATACATACAGCTCATGTAAACCATGATTTCCAGAATTCAGAAGCATGGGATCCAGTAATAAAATGCATTGTATAAGGAGAAATCGTGCGTGCGTGCAAGTGTGTGTGTGTGTGTGTGAGTGAGAGTGTGTGTGTGTGTGTGAGTGAGAGTGTGCGTGTGCGAGTGCGAGTGTGTGTGTGAGCGAGCGAGCGAGCGTGAGTGAGTGAGTGAGTGAGTGAGTGAGTGAGTGAGTGAGTGAGTGAGGGAGAGAGAGAGAGAGAGAGAGATAGAGAGAGAGAGAGAGAGAGGGAGAGAGAGAGAGTCTTTTTGCTGTCAAATCTTTACTGATTTTTATCAAGTAAACATCAGAATAACTTTGATATTGTTAGTCACATTTCCAGATAGGCCTGGTGGAAAAAATGATAATTATCGCAATATAATTTTTCTTGATAAAATGATAACAAGAGTTTGATAAATATTAAATACAATGTTTATGCGCCAAAAGCGGAAGGAATCAGCGCTGCTCATTTGAAGCATTGATCCGCTGTTTTTTTTGTAATTAATTTATAGCGTCTATGCATTTATATTAAATGTATTTAGACTACTGTTTTTCATACAAACACCTAGAAACCATAGCTGCATTTTTACCATGGTATCGGGGTGCTGTATGTGTGGCTTTAACTGTGGTTATCATGATCTGAATGTATGTTACTATGAAAGAACAATGGTTAATTTTAAGTCAAGCAGTCAGAATAACTATATTATAATTAATAATTACTACTCATAATAATAGCAATAATAATGAAATTTCACCATATAAAAATGAGGTTGTTACAATTTTTTACAGATGTTGCTGTTTTTGATAATGAACAAATTTACATCTGCATCCTAACTCAAGCTACTGTCAAATGTGCATTTATAAGAGACAAAATAATGCAATATTATTAATATTGCAGGCTGCACTGCAAACTGTGCTGAAGATACACCTCAACGTCAGGAACACAAACCTGTTACATGATCTGAAACAATATCCCTCATTAGAACATGCAGAAACTAAGAAATTAATTTCTCTATATTGACATTTATTTTGTTAAGGAAAAATGACTGGAAAAGTGTAAAGAATTCAAAAACCTGAAGTGTTTGTCATGTTCTGACCATAAAGAATAGCTTAAAACCACATTTAATGGTCTGGTTTCTACGACTTTCACTTAGGAGCAAAAATCTGCCTTTAAACTTTATTTATCGAGATAATTATCAATATCGACTCTTCTTCACAGAAAAATGTTATTGTGATATTTTTTTTGGCCAGATCGCCCAGCCATATTTCCAGATGAACACTTACTGGACTGAAGCAGCTTTTAGAAAAATCAGTGCGTCTCAAATCTGATCCTCAGGATCTTTTGAGGAGCGCTTATTTGTTCATCTCTCAATCATCACTGCATTGCATTATATGTTTGGATCATTTCTATCTCATCTTAGTGAGACAGATTACTGGAGATATAGAGTGACGACTGATATTTATGTCATTTTATGTCAGTATCTGCTTACTGTTAGAAAGATCTCATTGATTTACATTACAAGCAGCAGAAATTCATCATATAAATATCAGCACCAGCACCAAATTGCATATTTTTGCTCAGTCTGCGAATAAAACAGTCGATAAAAAAGCCTGATGTATCAAATATGACTATGTGAGGCTTCACATGGTTAAAGGCTTTAAAGGTCCACGCAGCGTTATTCTATGTGCAGACGTAATTTCAACTGAAAATGGAAGACAGGGCGGGACATATCTAGCAGCCCCGCCCCCTTTTTTAAATAGCCAATAGCGTTTCGTTTATATCACAGCTTGGGCCAGAGTCTTTGAGCTCGGTAAAGCTGCATTTGACAGCGTATGACAGTCATAGTCTAATAGATTAGCTTTTAGATTTAATATGAAACTGTTACTAAATCAAAGCAGTGACTATAATGATGCCGAGGATAGTGTAGTTTGAAAAGTGTGTCATCTCTTCTACTCGTCAGTGCTGTTTAACTGTTTCTCCTCCTGATCTCATCCATATCGCTGTAAAATATAACATGGGTCCGATACGGCTTTGTGGTCTGTGCCAACTCGCGCATATGATCCGCTTCGGATTCTAGAGAGCATTTGATTGGACAAAGTCTGACGAGAAGCTGAAGTGCAGAGTGAGGTCATCAAAACCGTTGATCCATATTGGCGGAAGTGAGAGACTGTAGGTTTTGAATGCTATGAATGAATGAATGAAGCATCTATATTGCATTTTGTTGATGGTTTTGATTGTGTTTGTGTGGTGTGAATGAGGAATCCGCTCTCACTCCACCCTGTGTGCGTCATTCCAGCGCTCTGATAATTACAGCTATTCACACTGCAGATGTGTGCGAGGACAACACAAACACACCCAGACCATGACATGAAGAGAAAGAGAAGCACGTACTGCGGATCTGCCGCTTGATTTCCTTGGTGGGGTCCAGCCAGCACTGCAACACAGAAACACAGAGGAGTCAGTAGAGCAGCTGCATGGCATGACCGACACAGCATCCAGAGACTGTGATCCTGAGCTCAGACTCACGCTTCTCTTCAAGAGAGCTCACGATGCAGTCCTCAAACATATCGCTACCTGAAGCCAATATTAGAATTATTTAATATGAGCTTATTTCTGTAAGACATTTCTTCATTTTGGCGATTGCTTTAGATTACATTTAGACTGCATGTGCACTTTGTGTGGTAACGTCTTTAAAAATCTTGGTTAATTAACAGTTAAATAATTTGCTATTTTCATACATACAGCTCATGTAAACCATGATTTCCAGAATTCAGAAGCATGGGATCCAGTAATAAAATGCATTGTATAAGGAGAAATGTCACTTAATTTGGCAAGATCTGGATGAATAAATCAAAAGTAGGACCGTACATTTCATTAAATCGTTATATGGACTAGAAGCGTCTGTGAATAATAATAATAATAATGATAAATTAAAAATGAATAATTATAATATTAAAACCTTTGATGTTGGCTTTCTCAATCCATCCTCACACCATTTTGTCTACAGTTAAATTTAAACAATAAACGTCTGATGTGCAGCACTTTGTTTACCAAAAAAAGATTAAAGGAATGGATCAAATTTGATTAGATTGCATTTGTAAAACTAAACACAGAATTTCTGATTCAAATGTTAATATATTTATAAATGTAAAGATACTCTAATCAATTGCATTCATAAAACTTATTTAATAAACACCAAAACCTAATTAAACCATTAAAACAGAAAACAGAAAAATTAAAACCTAAAACACTGAAATTAGATTAAAAAAAAAAACAAATTTGAGAGGGGGAAAAAAAATTAATTTGAGGAAAAAAACAATAAACCGATTTCATAGGGCCCTCCTAAAGTGACTCAGAGACATGTGTCTGAAACATCTGGCCTTGATTACTGGCTCGATCAGCTGCACTGGATGACTGATAACAGAACTAGAAAACAACATGCCTGGCCAAACCCATGATGCATGAGGCTTTAGCTTAACTTAAAGCATTCACCACCAACACCAGTTAAAGGACTAATGTGAGTGATGTGCTACTGATCACAGCGCACGCAGTCTTGTGTTTGACACCAGCACATCAGTATCAGTGTGTGTTTGGTTTCAGAGCTCTGGAGGAGAGCTAGTGACGATGAGATCACACAGGATAGACAACTTCACCATTAAAACTCACAAAACATCATTCCAATACAGCGCATGAGGCATACGGACTGCTCTTATGATATAGTTCTGTTGTTTTTATTTTTGGAGTTAATGCATCTGGCAGGTTTAGTTCAGCTCATGCACTGAACATAAATCGAACCCATGGCATGGATAATGTCAGTGTGTGTCTGATGTTTCCGTCCGTGTCTCATGTGTGAACTCACCCTCTGCTCAGCGTTGTCTTTAAAGCTCAGGCCGAAGTAATCCTTCTCCAACAGATTCAGCTGCTCGCAGACTTGAAAAAACAGGTACTGGCCTTTCGCCCGTTTCTGGAGAGACAATAAAGAAGAGGAAAGCAGTGAACACACTTTACAGTACAGACGTACACTAACAGCTGAACTCACCATGGAGTATTTGGACATTATTTGTTAAGAAAGTGATATATATATATCACATCACACAGATCATTCTGTCATAATTTACTCACTCCCATGTTATTCCAAACCTGTAAGTAAATGGGGTCCAAATCAACAATGGACGTTATCACAGACTTTCACTGTATGGACCAAAAACAAAAACAACACAATGGGACTTTTTGTTTTTTAAATTCCATGGATAAAGATGATCAGGGTTGGAAGAATGTGATGGTGAGTAAATGAGGACAGAAGTGTCATTTTTGGCTGGTATTTCAAGTATTCCTGTAAATGCCAGCGCGAGTCTGAATGGTGACTGTGGAGTCTCCGAGACGCTCTGAAGCGCCACACACAGACGCGGGGTTATAATGGGCCTATTGGAGCCGCTGGACACAGCAGACAGTCGGTTGGTGTGGATGGCGTGACTGTGTGTGTGTGTGTGTGTGTGTGACTCTTGAGGAATGAGAGGCTGCTTCGAGCTCCTCTCCAGACACCAGGAGCTTCCAGCATTAGTCACTGAGGAACATCTGAAGATGGAGAACAGCGCTGCATTCATCTGTCTGCTCCAAGTGCTTATGCACAGTTTTTAACCAGTCGAGGTTTCTCACACCAAAAATCTTAAATGTAGTTATCCATCCTACATCTGTAGGATAAGTAGGAAAGTAACTATGACAGTGGTTCTGTTGTCTTGCATATTGTTAGAGCAGAAAATAAAATAACCTGAAACACAACTGCTTGTGATAATGTCACATTGCAATACCAAGGGTTACATTATTTTTCTGATGGATAAAATTAGAGCATGACAGGAAATGTATCTCATTCAGTCAAACTGACAGATAAGGATTTTTTTTAGTGCAACGCTATTATTTGAAATTATTTGTTTCAGTCCTTTAGAGTCAAAGATTGGTAATTTAATATGCAGTAGTCTAGAAACAAATGGACATGATCGTGACATTTGTGCTACTGTACCTTTAAGACTTGGACAGTATGTTTAAATGATCATGTTATGAGTGTTATGATTGTTGTGATGTGTGTTTTTCAGTTTGGTTTCAGTAAAGAAGAAGTGTTGAGTTGTGAATGGTACTTTATCACACAGTACTGTATAAACAGTTTTCTTCTACATGGAGCGGTTGAGATCACGTGTAGCTGAACACTTTATCTCACTAAACTCCCTGTTGTCAGACACTTCTGCTTATGGAATAAATTAGGAATGGCTGACAACAACATCTGATACTGCATCCATGCCAGGTGTCAGTGTAAGTCTCGTATCAACTACACGCACATAAACAAAAACAGAGAGAGTGTTTTAATCTGTCTGGTTATGACATGCCACACAAAACACCATAAGCTGCTGTCATGGATGCAATTACACAAACTAATCCCAGTGTTCACTCACGGCAGATTTACTGATGAGTGATCAGACGTTACGCTCCGTAAACTCTGCAGAAGCTGCTTCAACACACACACAAACACACAGCTCATGGATTTCAGTTTGCAGAGGATAGATAGTGGCTGTTCCTGCATTAGTGAAGTGCATCAGGTGAATGGCGAGAGTAAACGAACACTAGTCTATCACACACAGCATGGCCACAGAAAGCCGCAGGTGTGGAGACGTGCGCCCATAGTGTCGGCACAACAAACCAGAGCCAATAACATCCACAGCTGAATCTGTGAGGCAGAAACATCACTTGTGTTGCACAACACACACGAGGAAAGCATGAATGTCAGATGATCCTCATCTAGAGTGAAGGAAGTGACTGTGTGGTAATAATTTCACCACAGTAAAGTGCTGCTAGCCATTAAACAGTGACAACTAGGATGATGAAGATATATGGATGAACATGGAAATAAAGTGCAAGAGATGTGTGATATTAAAAAGAGTTATTAAAATCACAATACGCTCCTGTAGAAATGAAAACTCAATTTGGAAGCTGAACTTGAAACTCAAATTCACAAACAATTATGTCAAAATGCATTTCTTGGTGAGTAGCCATGTAAACTAAGTCTTAAGTGAATGTAAACAGTTGGGAGAAAATCTAAATGCTTAGTCTGTTAATGCAATGATGATTGAGAGATGAACAAGCAAATGTTCCCCAACAGATCCCGATGATCAGATTTGAGACTCTAAAACATGATTGATGGAGAATCAAGTAAAGCTGAGCTGCTTCAGTCCAGTAAGTGTTCATCTGGAGATATGACTGCAGTTATTCTGACGTTTACTTGATAAAAACCAGTAAAGATCTGACAGCAGAAAGACACGAGAAGCTCCAGCTGAAGCTGGACGTTTGTACAATTACACTAAAAGAGCTGTGACTCAAGACTTCAGGAGCAGGAGTATATGCTGTTGTTACACTCATGTACAGCACTGCACAGTTCAGAAGCGTACGATGCGGTGGATTATTATGAGCAAATGCCTAGCAGCTGTAAGATCACATGCTCAGAGAGACATGAATGAGCAGAATACACTAGATCTATGAGAAAGAAAAGAAACCAATGGATCAGAGAGAGTGAATAAATGAGAGACAAAGCCTAAAAGAACATGATGAAAGAAAGATGAATGAGAACAAAAGAAGGAACTCAAACTGCAGACTCAATAATACCATGAATAAATTCATTGTAAAGTAGAGCATCACTGATGGGATGTTTGAGCAGGGTTTACGCAGGATCAGTGGCATACAGGAGAAACCACAGAGAGTGATTGTGAATGAAGCATCCAAATAACAACAACAAAAAACACGCCTCCATGAAAACACAAGCAGCGACAGGATCTCTGCACTTACAGCATTAAAAACACAACGCCATATGCTTCCTGCTGTTATATAGGTCACTGCGCTCTGATTGGCTGAGAGTTCCTGTCCATCATCTATTCGCTCTCCAGAGAGAGTCAGAGACTAGAGTTGAAACACAACAGATGAAGTGGCAGCGCTCCTAACATGCATGCGGGGTCGTTCATCCGTCCTGAGAGCCCTCATTGTCCCCACCGGCCCCAAAGAGCATCACGTCTGGAATGCTTTGTGTGAAGCTGCGGCTTATGCGTCCCAGAGACAGTGGCGCTCATCTCTGAGCAAACATGCCACCGTCTCGTGCATGAATACACCAGGACAATAGCGCTTAGTGATGCCTCAGCACTTTCCGGTGACGGGACAAAGCAGAGGCTGTTCAGAGCTCACAGAGCGGCCAGTAATGAAAGCCCTGCCCATCACATCCCAACACTCACCTGCACTGCATCGGATGATAGCTTCTCCTGTTCAGACGACAGATTTACTGTCAGCGATGAGAAGCCTTCACAGAGCACACGTCTTTAACACTCTTCACATGCCATTTAACATAATTTAATAGATTATGCTAATGAACTTTTAATTATTTTAAATATTTTACTAAAATATTAGGTGTAATAATTAAACATTTTATAAACATACCATGCTGTCAAAAGCTCCTGTGTGTATCAGTGTTCTGTGAAGACATCTGGTGCTCTGTGAAGGTTTCCGTTTAGAGCGTGTGTGTGTGTGTCTGTGTCTGTGTGTGTGGTGTGTCCAGATCCCAGCAGCAACAGCAGACAGTGAGGGTTGAAGCTGTGGGGTTGTTGACAGACCCCCAATAATCTGACCTTCAAAACTCTGAACACACCCACCAGATCACTGCGGGGTCAGAGGTAATCGCGCATCTGAACGCTCCTGTCAGCACAATGACTCATCCTATTACAGCTCTACTTCTCAACACACACTCCTTCTGCAACTCCGATTTAATTTCATAATTATATATTTTTA